CCCCGCGGGGAACGCCCCGTTCGGGGCCCCAAAGATGGGGAATTTTCCCCCGTGGGGGCGGGAATGGGGAGAAAAATTCCCCCGAGAGCATTTCGGGGACGGGGACGGGGAATACACCCCCCGCCCCGCGGGGACCCCGCCCCGCCTATTATTTTAATATAGTTAATTTAATATATATATTTTAGATTAGGTTTTTTAGTCATTTCCTTTATGTTTATTTATAAAAATAAATAAATAAATATTCATGTATTTATTAAGAGAGAGAAATGTAAATAATAAATGTCAAATACTAGTATTTTTTAATAACATAATAAATATGTGAATTCTTTGTGCTTTTTATTTTTATAGAAAATATAAACATTTTAAAAAAATAAAATATTAATGAATAAATGTAGGATCTATGGGGATCCCCGCGGGGAACGGGGATCCGCGGGGAACGGGGATGGGGATAGAAATTCCCCCCGTGACGGAGATCGGGGACGGGGACGGGGAATGAATTTGATGGCGGGGAAAAAGATGGGGAAGTGTCCCCCCGGCCCCGCCCCGCCCCATTGACATCCCTAATTATGTGTTGTTAAAAATATTTCTTTATCGACCTCTTTAGTAATAATTAAAATTTTTCTAAATTATGTATTAAATTAAATTGTAAAATTGAAAAAATAAAAAATTGACGGGTCGGCCCGCCAACTCGTTAGTAAATGGGACGGACTTGACTTTTGAGTTCGGACCCTTACGTTGATCCGTTCCGCTCCGTTTCACTTTTGTACGGATTTAAACGGGACGGGTCTAAATGTGACGGGTCGTCCGTTTTACCATCCCTAATTATATGTAACCTACTAGTGGAAATTTTTTGTGGAAATCTTTTATCTAACATAAATTAAGGATTCCTTTAATTTAGTTTGAATTCTTCAGAATTTTGTTCTGTTTGAGTCATTTGGTGACTGACTACTGTCTCGTTGGGTTTAATTACAATGCAAAGTTTCTTTCTCAGCTTGTGACTTTTAGGGCTTTTCACATAAACCTTATAGTGTTAGAGCACTTTTGTTTCTATAGTAGTGGGCCCTTTTCATGTGGATTTTGGTCTACTGCTACTCATTTTTTATTCATTCTTGTTTTCAGTTTTGAAGGTTTTCTTCATGAGTAAGTGCTATTTTGTTTTGGTTTTTGGAAAAAAAAATTTTTGTTGTTTTGCTGGTGAATTTCTTTACCACTGTTTCTTTTTTTTATAGCCTGATACAAATGTGTAACAACCTAGGATGGAGGTCTTTGTTTCTTTGATTTTAGTTGTTTTCTTAAACTTTTTTTTTACCTTGTTAGTGTAGGGGTGTGTAAGTGTTCCGCTTGGATCACTATGTTAATGATTTTTTTGTAAGGGTTAAAGTATAATATTTAATGGCAATTGCTTCCAACAACTAGCAATAGATTACATAATTGACTTATTATTTTCATTATGTAGTTTGGTCCAAAGGATTTTCTCAACAAGTCTAAGTGCATTTTGGGTTTGTTCATTATTGGTGTTTAGTTTTATGAAAGAGAGACACTTAGTTTCTTAGTTAGTATACTGAAAGGGTGTAGGTGGTGATGTTTAAACTCTACAATTAGCTTCTTTTCTTTGGTTGAAATGGAAGAAGCTGAAATGTTTAATCTCATGATACAAGTTTGATAACAAAATAAGAGAAGCTGCATACTTTATATTACATTTAGTTTTATAAATATGAATATTGAATATGTCTCTAAAGAAGTCATGTGTGGAGGCAAAGTCTTTATTTTGTTGATTAGAAAAAAAGTAATAATTGAATAGTAAAATTGACATGCTTCACCAAAAGTAATGATAAAGGTAAATTTTTATTTCGTAGAAAATATAGTATTTTATATCTATTAGTTCCTCACCATCAAAGAAATTGAAATATTAGAAACAAAAACTAGAATTTTAATTTTAATTAACACATTTATCTGTGTTGTTTTTATAGGTCAATGTCAAGTTTCACCTACCAACTGACCTAATGAAGAATGTGACAACAGTAACATGTAACAGTGGAGCTTTTGATCATTTGTTGAGGTATTGGTATTTAGTTTAAGGTTACTAATTATCTAAATGTCTATAGGTAGCTTGTTTATTGTAACTATTAAATATATGTCTATAGGTATATAATATTAGTTTAGATTTTATAGGGAAGGTGTGAATCATGTTTTACAACTGCAAGACATGTAATACTATATATTTAACTCTTTGAGATTACATTTCAATATTATAAAAAATATATATTAAGTTGGAATTGTATTTTTTCTCAATATCCACAAAATTTACCAAATGCTTAGGCTTGGGAAACTATACTATCGATTTAGCCGTGGGTAACTACAATGTGCATTAGTCCATATGTATTCACGGCTTGACCGCGGGTAATACCGTGGTCATTCTAAGCCGTCAAAAAATATTACCGAGAATTTTGAGGTCGTCGGTAAGTCCTCAGTAATTTATCATTACTCACGATTTTTTTATTTACTGACGGTTTTTGATCTTGGGTAATGACAAATTTTCTTATAGTGTCATCTGCATATCAATTAATATTCTTTTCGTCATTCACATTAGCAAAATGTCTGTTGAACCTTGAAATTATTGACATGTACCATAACACTTTAGCAGAAGAACGCTTTTTACTAACATAATCATTGTCATCACCATTGTTGTCCTTCAACATGTAGCGAGACTCACCACATTCTAGACATTGATCCAAAATTTCGTGTTCTTTCCTGTATAATATGTAATCATTAGGGCATACACGTATTTTGATATACTCAAAATCTATTGGATACAATATCTTCTTGACTTCATAACAACGATCTGATAAATTGTTATCTTTTGATAGCATTTGTTTTAACAAATCAAGCAATCATGTGAAACTTTTATCCGACCACCCACTTTTTGCCTTCATATTAATTAATTTTAACAATGTAGACAATCGTGTAAAACTTGTGCATCCCTTATATAAAGGCACATCTTTGTCGCTACATAAATTATCATAGATATGGGTTTTTATATAAGACGATTCTCCAATATCATGGATCATATCTTCTAGTCAATCATCCATGTCTTTATCAACTTCATCCATTTGCGATGCCACATTTCGATTTTTATCTGTTTCTCAATGCCACGCCCTTGTTGTATAATTTTGACACATTACATTACAACATATGTGATGTAATATTTCTTCCAGTGATTAACAAAAGGCAATAAAAGACACCATTATTTCCAAGAAGATTTTGTTTGACAAATTCAAGAACTCATTTCTCATACATCAGACCTAATATATCAGCTTTCATCCAACTACGATCCATAACAAATTCTGAAATTTATATCAAAAGATTAATCTGAATGGCACACTAATATTACACACATAAAACCTAAAGCATATTCATAACCACACTTATTTCTTCATTTACAAGAACCTAGCTTTCTAACAACAAAAACATCATAGAGCCAGAAAGGACACACAATAACACACAACTTTTTAATAATAAAAACATCACAAAATCTGAATAAAACCAAACAAAAATCTGAATAAAACCACCACATAAAGAAAACCACACCACAAATCTTGCGAGAGACGCCAAGAAATGAACAATCAAAATGAACAAGAATACAGAAAGGAAACGTACTGTACTTCAAAGAGGATGAAGAGACCAAGAAATAATATTTGTTTCCAGAAATGAATGAAGATGGTGAAAAATTTTCTATCGATGTCGTCTCAATTCCTAGAGAAACCTTGTGTGTTATAAACGAAAAAAAACATGTTATGTTTTAATTTGGTAGGAAAGAATTTATTAATAGTTCAATTAATTATTAAAATATTTAATTAATTAAAATTAAATATTCAATTACTTTGTAAAATATTTAAGTAATTCAAATAAAATAATAATAAATTATTTTAATAGTAATTCAAGTTAATATTTACTAATTAATTTTTATTTGATTAATTATATTTAGGATTTATATTGTATTAATTTTATTTTTAAATTTTTGTATCATTTAAAATAAATAAATATTTATTCTTAATTATTAAATTAAGTATTCATCATTTATAATATTAACAATAAAAACTAATTGGTCTAGATTTAAGATGATTATCATTTAATTTGAAGGGACTTATGTTTGTATTTTTTATTTTAAATTCAGAAATGTTTAATATTACTGTAAATCATAAAAAATTATTTGTCTCCAATTTACATTAGCCGTGTGGTAAAGACATAGGTTGTGCCTTAAAGGTCCTTAATTTGATTCTTTTAGGAATACATTTTCGCTATTTTTATGTTTTTAAATACTAATTATTTAAAACTAAAATTGAAATTAAAAACATAAAAAAGTTATTATTTAAAAAATGAAAAATATAAAATCAAATTCAATTTAGTCACAATTTAAAAATAGGAATAAAATCGATTTGAATAAAATTGATTGTGGAATTAAATTTTATAAGAGATTAAATTGAATTATTTTTTTTGACGGATTAATTTAGATTCTATAGTTATTGTGAAATACTAAAATGGATCTTTGTTGTTTTATATATTTTACGTGATAGGTGAAATTTAATAATATACACTATAATACTTCCTTAAATATTTTACTATCTAATATTTTGCATTTATATTCTTTTAAAAAATATATAAATGCTATTTTTTTTAAATATATTATTTAAATATCCAATAAATTGTACAATCATTACTTTATTGATAATTTAATCTTTAAGATAAATAATAATATATTTTGTCCAGTATAATTATTACCAAACTTTTATAATTCAACATTTGGAATGAATAAGTTAAATATAATATATTTAAACAATTTTTTATTTTAAAGTATTTTTCATAATTGAAATGGATTTTGTTTTGACTACCTCTATGTCTAACCTCTTTATAAAATCACAGAAATTAAAAATCTTTATAATAGTGTTAAATTTATATATAACTTTATAATAGTGTTTTGACTACCTTAATAATATATATATATGTGTTTCCCTCCTCTTACATTTTCTCAACATTTTCAAACTTATTTCTTTAACATTTTCAAAATTCTATTTGATAATACTGAGTTTGTTAATATCAGCATGAAGCTAGGAAGCATTCTCCTACTTGTGGTTGCTTTGATTGCTCTCTTCAACCTTAGCTATGGTACATTATCATTATTATTATTATTATTATTATTATTATTATTATTATTATTATTATTATTATTATTATTATTATTATTAATATTATTATTATTATTATTATTATTATTATTATTATTATTATTATTATTATTATTATTATTAAATAATAATAATAATAATTATTATTATTACTACTATTATTATTATTATTATTATTATTATTATTATTATTATTATTATTATTATTATTATTATTATTATTATTTTAAGATGTTTTGATCATATTATTTTTTTCTAATAATGTTGTACATGTAGGTCAAGAACCCAATATTAAATATTGCCCTAAAGTTCTTACAGGATTGAGTGGTGATTGTCTACATGCTCAACGTGACTGCAATGCTGAATTCAATGCAAGGTTTCGAGGTGCTCAGTCTCGTCGTTGCAGATGTGACACTACTGTTAATACACACACATGCTCATGTTGTATAGTTTGTGGATTAATGAAACATCAGAAAAATGAGCTTTTTGTAAGCCAAGATGATGATACTCAATGCTTATAATTAAGGAAATTTATTTGATAATAATAACCTCACATCTTATTTATGAGGGTTTATATTTTGGGTGTCAGATCTTACATTTTATTTTTTTTCAGTATATTTTAGAGTTTGATGTTTGCCCAAAAAAAAAAAGGTTTGATATTTGATTGAATAATCACAAACTCTTAAGTGATTTAAGCACATAATAAATCTTATAAAAAATATATAAAATGGAGAAATGTAATAAAGATTGTTAATTTTGATCTCATTATTTTTTTTATTATTATATCCTTAATTATTTATTAATGTATTTTATTGATTTTTCTTTCTACTATATTTAAAAGTACTATTAAAAATTTATAATTAATATCAAATTGAAATTTATTTTTTAATGGAAAAATATTAATAATATAGGCAAAACAGCCTGATAAAATACAAACAAAAACAACATGCACAAGCAGTACAAAACTAACCAAGAAAATACAAACCAAAAAAATTATCCAAACATAAGCACAAGTAGAACACACAACAAAAGCAATTTCGGAAACAACCAAGGAGAATAGAAGCGATGGGTTTAGAAACACCTCCACACCAGAGCACCAACCAATAAGAACCAGGCTAAAACTTAGTGAATAAACTCACCCTCATCAGAACAAGATCGTGCAAAACACCAATTGTTTTTGTGTTGTTCAATATGAATTTTTCTTGATGAGTATATAATTTAATTTTTTGTTAATTTGATTGTTGGGTGAGAGTAAAAACAACTAGTATTTTTGTTATTCATCTATAGAGGAATTGGGTGTGGTGTGATTCATTTTTGAACTTTGTATTATTTTAGAATCTTTAACATGTCTTTTGTATTAAGGAGATATTTTGTTTTCATGCTATCGTTATATTTTAGTGGTATGTATTTACTTTACTTATGCGTGTTTTATTTAAACCATACATTTATTTTCCGTTTTTAAAACTTGTTGATTTGTGATTCTTTGATTTTTACTTTTATTTATTTGAGTTGGTTAATTCTTGTTTAGGGACAAACAAGTCTATGTTGGAGAGAGTTTGATGAGTGCTAAGTTGTTGTGTTTTTGAGTGAATAATCAACACTCAGTAGCTTAATTTGTTTGTTTTTTGTCAATAAATCTCAACTTTAATATATATTCGGTATAGTTTATGTTAGTGTATTATTGCATTATTGTGTAAATATCGTTGAGTTTAATTGATTTTATCTTATTTTTGTAGGTATTCAAGCTTTGATACTTAAGCATTGTTAAATAGATAATTGAATAAACTTTCCAACGCTTTTGACCCTGCGTAAATCGGAGTTACGGTTACCAAGTTATGACTGAAATAATGCTAGAATTTTCTGTTTACTGTCAGTCGTCGCTCCTTGGTCGCCGGACGATGCTGGGGCGCCTCAGTGGCGTGAAAATGCACTAAAAATTGTTGTTTTGAGCGTCGGCGATGCTTTTCAGCGCGGAGCAATAACGTCTGGGCAAAAACACATTAAAAGGGCCAAAACACTCATTTTTAGGTTATGTTTTGGGGTATTTGTTCTCAACTCATCAAACCTTAATTCTTGGTAGTTTAGTGCTTAAAAAACAATACTGGAGCTTGCACACTGATGATCTGGGGTGGATTTTTCATCTTTCGGTGTTGACAAACTGAGATATTTTTGGTTCATTTCTCTTCATCTTTGTGTATTCTTCATTTATTGGATTTTGTATATTTCTTTACTTTGAACATATGTATATGTATTGATCATGGTGTTATATAAAGCTTACTTTCGAAATCATTGTTGATGTCTTTCTTGATCTTTTTTCTTTATGTTTGAATTTGGGTTGTTATAGACATATACCTCACAAATCTTGATTAAGAATGGATATCTATTAGTTTCTAGATTCTAGAGATAGATTTAGAGTTAATAATCAATGTGTGTATTGGAGCTTAATACTTCTGTGTTGTTTGTGTTGCATTGAGAGATCGCCGATGTATGAATATGATTGTTCTCTCAATTTAGGTTAGATATAATCTAGGTTGTGAGCGATACATGTTAACATTGAGGAGTATCGTAGGTTGAGTATAACTGGTCGATATGTTTAAATTTGTGAGGAGTGGATTATATGCATGCTTGATAAGTCTCTTATATTAAGAATGAATTCTTTTTATGTTCATACCTTTTAATTCCTGCATTTACTTCAAAACTAAACTCATAAACGCGATAAATTATCGAAAGACAATTCAGTAGCACTAATATATGTGGAGACGATATGATAAAACTAAATACTTATTTGCTTTTGCTTGCGGATTTACCACTTCAACAACTACCCACAAGTATGATGAAATTAGCATTGCATCATCTTGATATGGATAACTTTACTTGGATTTACTCAACAAGTACATCTCAACATTCAAGTGGAAAATGTTGATCAATTTCACAACATACTGTAGAAGTATAATGGTCTGCATCCTTACAAGAATAGACTCATATATTTTCTTTCAGAAAAAGGGTCTGGTTTAAAAAGAAAATTCCACAAAGGCAAAAAAAGAAGTTTGATGAGGTTTGTGTCTTTTAGAAGTATTGAAAGATTTTGAATATGCTTAAGTGTTTTAGTATTTATTAAGAAAAGATTTTCTAGATCACTTGACAAAGTCAATTTATTAAAAAAGATGTGAAATTTTGAAAACAAGAAAGGTTTTAAAATAGGGAGAAGCTTTGAAAATTAAAGAAGAAGAGGAGATGAAGACATTATCCTAAAGCATAATGTAAATGACAAGGAATAAATGGTCTCATTGTAAGGTAGCCCAATAGAAAGATTTTGTGTGTGTAAGTGAACTAATCAAGATGGAGCAAGCATTTGACACTGGTCAAAACAAGCATTCAATTCCCTTTGGATTTGAGCCACAAGTTGATCAAGCACATAAGCTGATGAACACCACAAGATTCAGATGGATAACCAAGTAACAAAGCCATAAATGAATCAAAGTCTCAAAGAAAGGCCAAGTATCAGATGAACCACATAATATCAAATGAATCAAGGTCTCAAATGCACAAGGTCTCGGATGGATATCAAAGTATCAATTACCACTCCAAGCAAGGGGAATACTAAGTTGAATTTCAAAGTCCAAACTCCTTAAGCAAGGGATAGTAACTGTTAACGCGAAATTACATTATATATTTGAATCAACCGGCTGAAAATCATCAAACAATGAAGTCGCCATTGAACGTCTTTTATCGCACATGAATGGAACGGTAAACATCGAGAAAAACCGAGAAGGGAGATTTACGGTCTTGCAACTGAGAGATCGGGTGAAGGAGTCTGGTACACGAGGGGAAGGTATTAACACCCCACACGCCCGTAGTACTCTATGGTATCCACTCTTGTTATCTATCTTATGGATGTGTCTAATCTATGCTTATAGGTGTGATCGGTGGATCTGGAACTGACTGTTTAACGCTGGTTCACGAAATGTCGTGGTATGCAAGAGTCGCCACCGTCTTTTATTTTCTCCAATATGGAAAGGACAAAAGCACAGAAAAATTCCTTATTGAGATTAGTTCTCGGTTTGGGAGGTAGATTTATAGAAAGGGAAGGTGTTAGCACCCTTTCTATCCATGGTTATCCATGGGCTCTTAGATACTTGCTCATTGTGTTTTCAAAAGTGTTTGCTTTTCAAGTGTGAGTAGGTTTTGAAAAAGTTTCGTTTAAAAGTTTCAGATCGACTCTTGTATCAGTCCTCAAGAGTGTTTGAAAAGTTGTTTTTGAAAGCTTTTTGCAAAGTGTCAGTGTGAAAAGGAGTTTTTGATTTGTTTTGAATTAGATCAAGTATCTACGAGTCATCTACCTACCCTAAGGAATTAGTCTGTGTAAATGTCCTTAAGGTAGTGCCATCCCACCATTGAGAGGTAGGTAGCACCACCGTTGGAGGTGTTCGGGTCAATTCGAGGATTAGGGACAGTGTGGTCACCAGAGCAATAGGAAGACACCTTAGAAGCTACCCCCATGCCATGTTCATGGACATGAGGACTTACTAAAACATCCTCTACTCGACGACCATGTTTCGAGGGGCAAGGCAACAATGAGGCGTACCCTAGGAGTGGTGTGTGAATTGTGTGTCATTTTCAGTTATTATTCGTCTTGTCATACATTGGTGATCTACGCTTTGATTTTATTTGAGCATACATTCTTTCATGTGAATTATTAGCAGTTAAGGGGTGCGGAAACAAAAATGCGGAAAGATAAAGGTCCTACGCTATTACAAGACGCGGGTCTACAACGCCAAATTAAACCAAGACCCGATTTGAAACAAAATGCGGAAAGTAAATATCCTAGTTATCTATTACAAGGCTTTGGGGCAGATACATTACATTCATAAAAGAAATAAAAAAATAAATGCGAAAAGAAATAAGAAATCGAGAGTGCGAGGGCGTTGGACCCTTTAAGGAATTGAATTGAAATTGAAAATTAATTAAATTAAATAAAGGAAAGAACTTATTTTTTTGATGTTTTTGGATTTATGAAATTAAAGAGAATTAAATTGGAATTAAAAGTTAAATAAAACCCTAGTTCTAAATTGTTTTTAATTTATAAAAAAAAAGTTCAAGTTTGACCTAATTTAACCTAATTAATTAATTACAAGTATTTACAAAAATAATTAATGGTTAATAATAATTATAATATGAAAAGAATATTTATTAAAAGAGAATCAAAATGCATTAACAACCTATTTTTATATTTTTTAGTTATTAAGAAAACAAATTAAAATTTAAACCTTAAATTAAAAACTAAATTGATTATCAAATTTATTTACAAAAATTAACATTAATAAAAACAATTTTTTTTTTTGTTTTATGATTTTTTCTGTTTTTTGTGTTATAAAATTTATCTTATGAATTGAAAGAAAATAATTAAATCAAAACAAATAAATAAAAAAAGAGAAAAAGAGTGAGAGAAAGAGATACAAACATGGGGGGTGTTGACCCAATTTGGAGGCTTATGGAAGCAATTAGTCCCACTGAAATCTAG